TTATGAGCTCATTAGATTTGAGTTCTAGATGGTGGCCACTAGAGGTAGGAAGGGGAGTGGAGAGTGTGGGGATGTAGAGAGGTTAGATTACTGATGCCCAAAAAATTAGGCTGGAAGAATTAGCTATAGTGTTTTATAGTGGAACAGGGGTATTATGATTCACAATATTTTATTTCTGATGAATATATGTACACGTACACCCATATTAATAATTTATTGGATATGGCATTTACTTTTAAAGAGGAAAAGGAAATGGGTTTCTTTTTAGCAACTGCATTATCTTTATATATATATATATATATTTATATTTATATAAAAAAGACCAATAATAGCAGTATGTTATGCATCAATAGCAGCAACAGCTTTTCCAGGTGCAACTGCATTTTCTATTGGAAATTTTTCAATCAGAAGGTCTATGTACTGTTCTGACCTGACTGGGGCTCTCAGTTGATAAAACTGTATTTTCTGAGCTAGGCTCCAACATACCAATTACATTCCATGTGAATCTAACCCCTCCCCTTTCGTACAATAGTGGTTTGAATGAGAATGTCCTCTATAGACTATGGCATTTAAACACTTGGTCCCCAGTTGATGAAGCTGATTGGGGTGTGGGGGGGTATGTCACTGGAGGTGGCTTTGATAGTTCAACCTCTTTGCTTAGTGCTCGTGTTTGACAAGTAAAATCTCTGTCTGCTCCTTTGTCCTGCTGCCAGGCCTGCTGCCGTCTGCTACATCTCCCCACCATGATGGACTCTCATCCCTCCAGAATTGTTAAGCCCACAAAATTCCTTCTTCTACCAGTTACTTTATCACAGCAACAGAAAAGTAATTAATTCAAGTATCAACAGCAGTTTTCATAGAAGGCCATTTTTTTTTTTTTACATTTCCTGATCCTCCCTTTCTGCCTGTGACAAGTAGCTCATATATCTGAACTACAAACACTCCAGTCATTTTTTATTTATGTGAAAAAATGTCCTCTTTAGATAGTGAGCCCATCAGAGAAAAGAGACACGGGAAGCTTTTTATCTTAAAGATCAAGTTCTCATTATTTTTCACCTTGGAGGTGAGCAACAAGGAGAATCAAAGAAGGCAATAATAGTGAGAGTGGTAGAAGAGGAAAATGTACACCAGCAAATATTTATTGAGCATCTACTGGATGACGGGCATGGCTCTAGGTGCTGTAGACAGAGAAAGAATGAAACAACAAATTCTCAGCCATCAAGAAAGCTTTAAGGGTAGGTAGATTTGAGAGACATTTAAGTGAATAGAGGTGAAAACAGAACAGAAGGCATTAATGACTCAATAGCCTCTTGCCTTCCCGGAAATTACTATGAAGTTATCAAGATACACAAAGACAAGTAATTCTACATACTTTGTTTTAGAAGATATAACTTTAGTTTTGAAAATCAGCATTAAACTACATAAAAGTTTATCCATATGTCTGCAAATTATTTTGGAATACTTTAAGAGTAAGATGGATGGATGGATGGATGGATGGATGGATGGATGGATGGATGGATGGATGGATGGATGGATGGATGGATGGATGGATGGATGGATGGATGGATGGATGGATGGATGGATGGATGGATGGATGGATGGATGGATGGATGGATGGATGGATGGATGGATGGATGGATGGATGGATGGATGGATGGATGGATGGATGGATGGATGGATGGATGGATGGATAGATGTATGAGTGGATATACAGCTGAATGGATGGATAAACAGATGGATGATAATGTGGGTGGCTGGATAAGTGGGTATATGATTGGATGGATGGACAGATGGAGAGTTAGATGGATGGATGAATGGATATATGTATGGTTGAATAATGAATGGCTGGGTGGATGTATGGATGAATGGATACATGCTTGGGTAGATGGATGGATGATAATGGATGAGAATAAAATAAGTATTATAAAAGGTTCATTGTAAAATCTAGATGGGTGGGGGTATTTTATTAGTAATTCTTTTCATTTTTTGAAGTTTAGAATATTTCATAATAAAATATTGGAAATAAAGGCCCAGGCCTAGTGAAAAGGATAGTCCACCAAAATGAATTCAGATTCAACATCAGATTAAATGAAATCTTTAAAAAATGAGCTCAAGTGGTGGTAAACTGAGGAGAAAAATTGTTACAAGAAGTCAATCTGGTCTCAGAGTCTATAGAATTGGGTCCTACTTTGACCTTTGCTTCATCTAATGTCACTTGAGAAATGACAAAACTGATGAAGCTGATGATGACTGAGGAGATGATACAAATAGAGTTCCATGCACTGTCCAGTGCTTTGCATACATACTCTCTCAAACTTCTTTAGGGAAGCTTCTTCTCCTTCCATTTCACAGATGAGAAAACTGAGACCCAGAGAGGTGAAATAATTTACCTCAGATCCCATGGGAATGAGATTTGAACCTGAGTCCATATAATACCAAATGCAGTTCCTCTCTGGACCTCAGTGCTCTTTCGAGGTCTAGATTAGATGGTATTTGTGGTCTCTGTGACTCTAATCTGTGAGTCTGCAAAGAAAGAACATTTGGGGCATGTTCCATTGAATTTATTATTACAAGTTATAAGTCAGATTTACTTAGAGATTGGTCCCAGAAGGGAACATCAGGACTAGCATGAAGCTTCATGGAGGCTCCTCAAGGTCTGGGCCAAGGAGAGTCTATGATTTCTGTGGCCTACTGATAGTACACTCCTAGCTAATGATGATGTGATGTGAAGGGTGGGGCTTACTTTGTCTCCATTTGGTCTAGGTTTTATCTCTGTCATTGCTTCTGAATTGGAAGAGAGCAATCCAAATGTTGAGACTTTGGTGTGTGTATGGTGTTATGTATTTGTTCACCTGTGTGGACAAGTAAGTGGAGGCCAGAGACTGACATTGTATGTATTCTAGTGCCCTCCATTATTTTGGGGTATCTTTTGGAAACAGAAGTTCCCTTATTGAGACAGACAGCTGCTAGTGGCTCCAAGGTCCACTCATCTCTAGCAGCTCACCACCACTGCTGATGTTACGGATGTTTGCTGCTGGGTCTGGTTTTTACAGGGGTGCTGGGGAACAGAACTCTGCTCCTTAGGCTTGTGCAGCAGCACTTCACCCACAGAATTGCCTCCTCAGTCCCAACTTCAAACATTTATGGAGCCATTTGGAGAGCAGAACTCTTTCTCCTCTGTGACAAAATAAATTCTGAGACTATTGGGGTAGAAGGTGACAACTAAAAATGAAGATTAAATACAGGGAGGGAGGCTGGGCTCACAGACCAAGAGCAATATTCCCAGTGCAGTTACCCAGAAACCTGGATCCACTGTGCCTAAGGCTAACACATTCCTGTGCTTTTCAGGTTAGGTGAGTAAATCCCACTTTGAAGGCCAAGGAAGTCTGAGTTGGAATTGTGTATCCAGAGTGATGAAAACCTCAGTGTTTCCACAGGCATTTCCCAAGAAGATGGCCATAGGACAAGTGCTGGCATTTATTTTATTTTGTTTTGTTGTTGTTATTGTTTTGAGACAGAGACAGTCTCACTCTTGTAGCCCAGGCTGGCCTCCTGGGGATTACACATGCACACCATCACATGCCTAGGTAAAACAGTGGATTGTAAATTTTATCTTATAGGAACAAAAAGCTAATGGTATGATAGATTGTCAAATGGGTCTTTTAGCTCCTTTGCTACTTAGGCCTTTATGGTTGTTAGTCCATCTCACATCTGCCCGAGGACTTTCTCATTCCTGACTCCAGTGGACAGTGGTACAGTTCCACTTGGGCGCAAGAAACTAACCTGGATGATCTTCCCAATAAACCAAGGCACTGGCTGCAGCTTCATCTTTCTGATGTTGCTTTCCAGCACTTCCAGGAAAACTTCATAGTCTGGCGTTGGAAGAACAACTCCAGGAAACAGATCTGAGATAATTCCCTGTCATAGGAGGATTCAAAAGAAGGGGAGGGGGATCCGATAGGTTAGCTCACCTTTCCTAAAAGGAGATCTACAAACAGAAGAAATATTAGAGAATTTGCTAAGCTTGTTTTTTCCTGGACTTAAAATGCCAAGTCTTTGTATCAGGATTTCCCTCCTGAATAATTTTAGAAGCCAGAAAAGATTTAGTAGGCCCATACTACTGTTTTTCTAGTCAAGACACAGACTAACAAGTTGATTTATGCCTTTATGGTGCTCACAGCCTGATAAGGAAGAGAGGCCTTAAATTAGTTATAAAAGAAACTAATTCCATTAGATAAAAGCCATGGCCTAGACCTAAAGCAAATTGTGAAGACATTTTTATTAAATTTTAGAACTAAATAGGGATTTTTGCTTTTTTACTATTAATAACATGGAGAGGTTGGGCAAAGGGTGTGATGGGGTGGGCACCAGTCTCAGTCACCGAAGTGCTTGCTGTGCAAGCATTAGGGCCTGGTTTGGATCCTGAACACTCATGTAAAAAGCTAGGTGTGGGGACAGGTGCCAGTAATCCAAGCTCTGAGAAGGCAGAGACTGGTGGGGTCTTGGAGCTCACTGGCCAGACAATCTAGCTGATTTGGTAAGCTCCAGGTTCAATGAGAAATCTTCTCTTCAAAAATAAGGTGGAAGGCCCCTCATGGCTGTTCAGACCTTGAATCTCAGAATGGGAGGCAGAGGCAGGCAGATCTCTGTGACACTGAGGCTAGGATGGTCTATACAGTGAGTTCCAGGCCAGCTAGAGCTACACAGTGAGAACGGGTCTTAAAAAAGATGGAGAGCAATAGACAATGGCACCAGAAATGAAACTCTAGTCTACATGCACTGACATTCTTTCTCTCTCTCCTCTCCTCTCCTCTCCTCTCCTCTCCTCTCCTCTCCT